CCTTTCTCAGACTTCAGAGAACTGAAAAGAGTTAGAAATTTGCTTTGAATTAGGCTTTGACTTAAGGAAATGTCGTGATTGGTTCAATTGGCTAACCATACCACTAAAATTTTCTCTATATCATCAGGAAGGCAGTTTCACCTTTTTTGTTTATCAGTTATGTGGTCCACTGGAGTAGCAGTTGAAATATCCTTCAAAAACTTCCTTTGTATTTTCAACTTGGCTAACCATTTGTCACAGAGGCCTAACATTGTCCTATCTTGGTTTAATCATTTCAAGCTTTGTATTAAAAAGTTAGAGATATTTGACACTTCCTTTCACTTGATCATTTAGAAGGCCTTGTAGGATCATAGATATATTAATTGGCCAAATTTCAGTATTGTTATAGCTCAGGGAATAGGAAGAGAGAGATGGGAAAATAACTGGTTGGTGGAGCAATCAGAAATATACAACATTTATTGATTAAGTTTGCCATCTTTTATTTCTGTAGTTTGTGGCACCCCAAAACAATGACAATGATTACTGGTCACAAATCACCATAAAACATATAATAATAATAAAAACCTTTGAAATGCTGCAAAAAATATGAAAATGTGACACAGAGACATTCAGAAGTGAGCATATGCTATTTTAAAAACTTATGCCAATAAGCTTGCTTGATGCAGGGTTCCCAAAAACCTTCAATTTGTTTTAAAAAATGTAATTTCTGTGAAGCACAATAAAATTAAATAATAATTTGAATAACCCTATGTAACTATTTAGGAAATTCAATATGTAATTTAACAACTCTCAAAAATGGAATCTCTGGGTCCAGATGGTTTCACTGGAGAATCCTTCCAAACATTTTAAAAAGAATTAACACCAATGTTTCACAGTCTCTTCCAGAAATTAGCAGTGTAAAGAAAACTTTCCATTTCATCTTCAAAGGTTCTTATTACCCTGATATCAACTCCAGGCAAAAACAGTCAAAGAAAAGAAAGTTACAGTTTCATATCCATAATGAATATAGATGCAAATATATTTATCAAAATATTAGTAAATGTAATTAACAATGTATAGAAAGAATTTTACATTGTTAAAAACTTGGGTTTATTCTAGAGATGCAAAACCAGTTATTTATTCAAAACTCAGTGTCACTTATAGTACCAGGGTTAAAGAAGGAAATTTGCATTATCATGTCAATTGATGAAATTAAAACACTCAAGACCAGCACAATTCACAATAGCTAAACTGTGACACCAACCTAGGTGCCCTTCAATAGTTGCATGGATTTTTTTAAAAAGTGGTATATATACACAATGGAATATTTCTCAGCAATAAAAGAGAATAAAATCATGGCATTTGCATGTAAATGGATGGAGTTAGAGAAGATAATGCTAAGTGTAGTTAGCCAATCCCCAAAAAACAAATGCTGAATGTTTTCTTTGATATAAGGAGTCTGATTCATAGTGGGGTAGAGAGAGGGAGTGTGGGAGGAATAGATGAACTCTAGATAGGGCAGAGGGGTTAGAGGGAAAGGAAGGGGGCAGGGGGTTAGAAATGATGGTGGAACGTGATGATGATTATTATCCAAAGTACATGTATGAAGACACGAATTGGTGTGAATATATTTTGTATACAACCAGAAAAAAAAAGTCATTTGATAGGACTTTCAACATTAAATCAAGGAAAATTAAAAAAAAAACAAGAGAATTCTGCTCATATTTATGATAAAATATTTTGGAGAACTAGGAATGGAGGGGAACTTCTTCAACTTAATGAGTTTTACAATTTGACATTATTGACTTCAACAAACATCTACCCACATTTGTTGCCATCTTAATTGAATTAATTATAAATTAGGAAGGCTTGGCTTGGCTCCATAAAATATCTTTGTATTGACATTATAAGGTTGCTTATGCTAATGATTGTTATTTTGATCTTAGTAATTAGTAATATAGCTAAATAATCATACTGGTACATGTACCTACATTCATGTGCATGTGTGTACACACACATACACACAAACACACTCTATGCGCTGTAAGGTCTTTATAACAAATTCCAAATCACTGTGGTGAAGAAGATAACCATGGCAGAAGAGTTGGGCAGAATGGGGAGACAAGGGTATTAGCATTTATTGCCTGCCTACTGTGTGCTACATAATGTATTTGGGAAATTTACATGTGTTAGCTCATGTAATCCTCTCCACATAATCTGTAATGTAGGTGTTATTAGTGAGGAAGTCAAGGCTGAGAGAAGCAAGGTATGATGATTAGATAATGTCACTTTGCTGCTGTTTAAAATTCTAAGATCCCTCTACCTCTGAGGAACAAAGGCTTAATTCATCCCAGTTTCTAAGCTGTGTTTTGACCTGTGCCATTCTCCACAGTTTCATCTAGGTCCCTCTTCTTTTTGCAGTACATAATCGTGCCATACTGGTCTTTGTTTAGTTTTTTTTTTTTAATGTGTCATATTTTTCTGCTCTAGGGCTACTACTGTTCACGCCATTCTCTCTGTCTGGATTACTCTCCACTGTGTCAGACTGTATTCCATTCTTCAGGACTTAGTTTAGAAATCATATCCTTGGGTTCTCAGGGAACCTTTTCCTGACTGCATCCTTGACTTTACAGTATCCCTCAGACTCTGTTAGTCCTCTTTGTTGTGTTCTTCTATTACATTGTTCATCTCTTCCCTGTTATTCTTCATATGGTTTTACATATAACCATATGTTCAGGGTTGATTTTCCTCATTAGATGAAGCTCCTGGTTCATATATTGTTCTGTTCTGTGCTCAATTCCTAGCAACTAGTACAGTGCCTGTCATATGATAGGCGTTCAATAAATATTTGGTTAATGAATATACACATAAACTTTCTAGTGTTGGTACATAGTAAGTATGCTAGATATTTAAGCTTTAATCATAGTTGTTGTTAATGTCCAATACCGAATAGCTTGTCAAAGGCAGAACAGGTATTTATACCCAGATTTGAGTCTCCTTTCACAATATGACTCTGCCTGCAGAAATAGGTTATTGGCCCAACACTGTCTTTATTGGCTATATGAATTCGGGTAAGAAATGATACAAGTCTGAATATCAGTTTTCCATCTATAAAAATGGGGTAGGAGTAAGCAAAATTAGATAGGAGAGGATCTAAATAAATAAATGATTAACCAATACAAATCAGTAACAATCTTCTGCAAGACAGTTGAGCAGTTATACCAAAAACCCTTGGTATGTTTATGCACTTCAGCCTGGTACCTTCAGTCAAAGTCAGTGTGTAGAAGTGAGTTGTATGTAGATTTTGATGTCAGAGAGCCCTACATTCAAATTCCAACACACAATTTAGTAACTGTGTGATCCTACACAAGTTACTATTCTGAACCTCAATTTTCTTCTCTACAAATGGGATAATATTCCTTTCTAAAGTAAAAACAAAATAATAACACAAAAAGAAAAAAATGGAGCATAGAAAGAAAAACTCCCATTATTCTATGTACCTAACACTATTCTTTGTGTGGTTCTGTGTACTTGAGGGGCACTTGTTGAAGGAGTCAAGAGACTCAGGCAGTGCTGGAAAAGGAGAAAAGGACTGCAGACAGAAGCTGGCTGACATCAGAGGTCTGAGGCCAGGGTATGGTGCTGGAGTATCCATGAGATACTCTGGAACAGAGGTGAAAGCCAGCTATTGAGGCAGAAGAGATGCCAAATATGTATAAATGGCTAATGGCTAGGCAGGTCCTGAGAACCAGGGAATAGGAGGCCAGTAGGAGGATAACAACATGGCTTATTTGGTCCTCCTTTCAAAATGTGAAGCCCTCTCATGTAAGCAGGCTTCAAATGATTTGAAAGGCCCTTGAAACTACATCTTTCCAGTTTCTTTTCTTGTTTAATCATGTGAAAATTTATTTTGGAATTGTAACCTTAGGGTAGTGTGATGACTACCCTATTCCAATTTTGCTGATAGGCCAGAAAACACATCTCAATGTATTAACTTTTTGCTTGTTTGAATTACTTTCTTAGGATAAACTTCCAGGTATGGGATTGAGCCAGAGGGTATACAGTTGAGATTCAGCAACCATAACCAGATTTTGGGTTTTTCTTTCCTTGTCTTTCTTTCTTTCTTTCTTTCTTTCTTCCTTTCTTCCTTTCTTCCTTTCTTCCTTTCTTCCTTTCTTCCTTTCTTCCTTTCTTCCTTTCTTCCTTTCTTCCTTTCTTCCTTTCTT